GGTGGAGCCCCGCTCCCGTCCGCGCTGCTCGGGGCAGTGGCGCAGGGGTGATCCGTTTTCTGTGTTGCTGTCAGTAATTCGGAGCGATTCAGTGCGAACGGGAGGGTGCGCGGCTCGGTAGCCTGCTCCCGGATGCCTTCAGCATCTTCGGGATTTGTTGTAGGTCTGTGGCGGGGTCTGTTAGGGAGGGATGGATCTCACGGGGCGGCGTCCCCAGGGACCCTCCTGGCTGGCCTGGGGCTGATTCCCCTCGGTGTCACTTAGCTGAGGCTCATCGCGGTGCTGGTACCTGAGGGGCAACTGCTGGAGCCGCTGTGGTAACCGCAGCCCCTCCCAGGGTCTGTGCCTTTTTGGTAATGGTTGCTTGGAACGGCCAGCTCTGTCTGACTCTGAAATGTATTGGGAGTTGTGCATAAAAACTGAACAAGATAATTGTTCTTTAGTGACTGTAAACAAAAAGCTGCTCTTAATATTTCTTTATAGTTATTGATAACCTGTTTAGTTCACAGACTTTTAGTTCGTAAATTCACCAACAATAAAGGTTTTGTTTTCTACAGCTACTGATTTCAGTTTTTCCAGGCATGACTTGTCTTCCTACTGCATTCTGGATCAGCAAAGTGTAGAATTAATTACTGCTGAATCACAACAGAGTCTTATACAACACAATGCGAGTTAATTGCATAAGAAGCAGCAACTTCAGTGATAACAATACTGCTGCTATGTGTCAATGTAACCTTCCTGAGCAGTTGTTCCCATCACGTTGGTTTTGAGTTCTCTGGACTGTCATTTCACAGAAGTCACTCACTGGGTCTTGTATTTTCCTTTTTTTGGATAGTGTTAAACATGTCTGCTTAAGATAATATCTCTTATTTTATAGTGTTAATATATATTGAGTGTGGTGATATGATCAATCTAAAATAAATGTTTACATATGCAGAATGGAGACTGATTACAATCCTATGGAGTTGCCCAATAATACGGGGTTTGAAGAGGATTCAGATTACAAAGACTTCGAAGGAACAGATGTGAAAGACATGAGACTAGAAGCCGAAGCTGTTGTCAATGATGTTCTGTTCGCTGTCAGCAACATGTTTGTCTCAAAAACCCTTCCCTGTGCAGAGGATGTCGCATATATCAATGTGGAAACCAGGGAAAGGAACAGATACTGCCTGGAGCTCACCGAAGCAGGTCTCAGGGTAAACTAATTTGTTTATAATTTCTTAAGACTCTTTGTTTTGAACAGTGATTATGTTCCAAAGGTGCCTAGAAAATTACTTCAGTGACACAAAAAGAGCATACATGTTCCTCTTGTACTTTCATGAAAGGCTGTTTTACGTATTTTCTCCTAGAAAGTGGAACTTGAACTAGTTAGTTCCAATGAATCAAGAAGGGGAGTTGATGAAAAACTGGACGTTTATTTTAGACAGAAAATGATAACGGATGAAGCAGCAATTTTTTGTAGGCATGTCAGTCTGGGTTTCTTGGGTACCCAGATAAGTCAGTAATACGGAATGTATACAACTCCTTTTTGCACCATATGTATTTTTTGTGCAAACATGTAGATGTGAGACTTCTTTTCGAAGGTCATGATGGTAGATTTTACTAATATTCTGAGTTTTGGACAAAAGGTATTTGAAACTGTCTAAATACTGTATACCACCAAGCCCCATAGTGAAAAGCACAGATTGTGATTTAAATCCAGTATCTTTTGTTCTCACATTTCTGTACTACTGTGATACTTGTTTCCCATTGCAAGGTGATCCTAACCACAGATGTTTAACCAGTGATTTCTTTGTTGCAGGTGGTAGCTTATGATTTTGATCAGACTGATGACAGATTGCAAACTCCATACCACGAAACCGTCTACTCCTTGTTGGACTCTCTCAGCCCTGCATATCGAGAGGTGTTTGGGAATGCATTACTACAAAGACTGGAAGCTTTGGAGAAAGAGACTCAGTCCTGATTTACCCAGAAGGGAGGAAGGTTTAGTGCTGGAAGGAATTCTTAGTATGGGGCACTGAGATCTTCCCTACAAACATAATCGCAAACATCTTAAGCTTCATTTCTTCCATTAATATCTAAGTAGGCTAGTACTACTCTATAACATTTTGCTGCAGTGGGTTTGCGTATATCACAATGCTATTGAAAACCATTTTGATAAGCTGTAAAATTAATAAACTTTTTTGCTTTCTTTTTTGTTGTAGGTGAGCAAGTAAGTTGTTTCTTACACCATCCAAAAAATTTGGTTTCTTTTCAAAGTGTTACTATTGAAAATGCTAAAAAATATGTAGAAACTGAATGTTATATATACAAGTAGTATTTTTTTTGTGTGTACTTACTGATAATTTTAATATCTGTTTTTTAAAATAGATGCTAAGTACTTGCTCTACCCAATTAATGAAAAATAATACGGAAAACCACTGTTCTGCAAAGATCAGAATTTCAGCTTGATTTGCTATACATAAATATGAAAATTCTCAGCTTTGGTAAAAAGAAAGATGGTTCTTGAACAGTTGAGAGTTCCTTATATAGTGACAGTATCTGAGTTGAACACAAGGCTCACTATGATTTGATCTGTCCTTGTCTATGGCAACCAACAAACTCCAAAAAACAAGTGAGATGTACTGCTAATATATGAATGTATTATCTGAATTGCAAATGAGTTAAGCACAGAATTAGGATGTAATGGGCTACATTTCCTAAAAATTAAGTTATATGTGCTATATATATATGTATGCTATATTATAACTGTTTGGAAGGACATTTTAGCCTGTTTACTATTCTGAATGTGTGTTTACATGATGTACAGGATATACCTGAGAGTATTTTTGCTCCAGCCTTTACTTTCTATAATACAGTACTTTGGTACTCCCGTTTTTCACATTTTCTCCCTCAATTGTACAGCGTCCTCTCCTAATGAATACTAAGTAAGCACTGTAATGTTAATTGCATTGTATTGGTTTGAAACCAAAGGCTGTGTGAAGTTTGCTAAGACTAATACAAGCTGGAAGATATAACTTGTATTTTTTACCTGAAAACTGGTTCAAATCTCTTTATAAATCTATTGTTCTGCTGTAACTTTTCAAATATGTACTGAATGGTAGACTTTTTAAAAATTACAGTTGGTTAGAAATGCCAGTACTGTTGAACTAACATTCTGTGACATTCATACTTTTTGTATTCTTGTATTATTCAGTATTTGTGCATCTTTATTTAAATAATCCTGCCATTATTCTGCCTTGCTTTTGTGACAAGTACATGCAGTAGCTTTTATGGAGCCACACTTAGGGATACATCAGTGCTCATGAAGTCACAGATTCCAGTGACTTCAGTGGAGCTTCAGTAGTCTTCTGCCTGCTAAGGATTAGTCATATTAATTGGAGAATCCTAGTAGAGCTTTTGTAGTAGCGTTGGGGTAATCATGTACAACTATGACAACTGCAGTTAGTGCTTCTGTTTTCCAGAGCTTAATTTTGTGTTTGTTTTATTATATTTTTAGGTTGAAACTTCTGATATTAATCCTCTGCCCTAGGCTATGCTTCCATGCTCTAAAAATTGTTCATAGGCTCTCTTTTGCACACAGGTCTGTGGCACGTGGTTAGTCCTCTGTGAGGAGAATGTACTTTACCAAATTTCTATTTGAATATTTTCCCTTGCAACTTATTTACTTGTTCAATTTCAATGACTAAAGCATTAAATAAATACACCAGTGTGTTGCAGTTTTCTTTGGGGGGAGCTACTGGAAAGGGGGCAGTGAACAACCAAAGTCGTCGTGCCTATTAAAAATATCTTGAATATCAAATGGTTAATAAGCATTTTAAAACCTTTGGCTGCAAACTTGTACCTGCTGAAACTTTGCCATGAAAAACCAAGGCAAGTGAATGTAAATAGGGTCTTGGAAAGGAAGTGTTAGAAATACAAGTGGAAAAATACCAAACTGAATGTTAGATTGCTAAGATTTTTTTTTCTTTGACACTTTTAAAATGCTTTGTCATTTTGCGTGCTTATTATAAACCACAGCTGAGAAATACTTTCAAAACAGGTGTTTTGTAGGTGTTACCAGAAGAAACTTGTCTTGTATCTTATAACATACTGCAGTCATAACTGAAAACTGGGAAAGCTATGTCATTCCACACTGTCTGGGTTACTGAGTATGAAAAAAAAGCTCCTCAGTCCCTGTGCATAGGCATTGTGGCCTGCATGGAAAGAACTTCTCTGACAGCAGTGAATGTGAATAGGTCACCTTACACTGTCATTTGTTTTCATTATCGAAACGCCTGAATAAGTGCTGCTTAGCCTAATGTAGCTGTTAATCTACGAATTACCTAAAAAGTCTCAAAGCCTGTCTGCTGTCTGCAAGGATGTCTGGTAACCTAATCAAAGCTATTTTTGCCTCAGCAGTACTACACTTTTTGTCCTGTTAAGCATCAGGAAGTCAGGAACAAATTCCCTAATTGCTGATTGTTTGTCCTAGGATGGATTAAATTAGGTATAATAATAATAATAATAATTTAAAAAATCCAGTATAGGTGTACACTAAGTGCCTGTTTGTATTTAGGATGGCCTTTACCCCCAGAGGAGGGCCGCGCCCCCCGCTGCTCCCATTGCGCAGTCGCCGCTGGCCACGCCGTCGCGTAGCAGCGGGCAGCGGGCCGCGTCCCCTGCTCAGACCGCGGCAATGGCGACGGCGGCGGAGCCGGTGCGGGGCCCGAGGGTCTTTCTCAACCACCTCGACTCCTACTGCGGCCGCAGCATCGGCGAGGTGACCGCGGGGGGCGGGCCGGGGCTGGGGGCTTGTCCCC